TCGTTAAAATGACAAGCTATCCATTAAACTTTTTCATCCATATACCTTGATTACAAATTTGTGTTCGTAGGGTAAACTTCGCTTATAAAATAAATCGGAATAAATACGGAAACTAAATGATTCTGTGCCCTTTCGTTAAAATGACAAGCTATCCATTAAACTTTTTCATCCATATACCTTGATTACAAATTTGTGTTCGTAGGGTAAACTTCGCTTATAAAATAAATCGGCTTTTTTTTATGCACGATAGAGTATAATAAGCGGGGTAGGGGTGTAGAGGGGTGTCTTCCCGATCGAATTGCAATTATTTGGAAGTGTTGGAATAAAAATATTGGGGGTACAAATGCACTCGATCTTCTGTTTCTCAAAACGAGTTTATGGTCTTCTCATTTATGGGGGCGCGATAAATACGAGTCCGTGTTTTTCATACCCTGACCTCCGGTAAATTTTCATATTGACAGGGGCGATCTCCTTTTCAAAAGTTAGGGGTGGTCCATGGACCAAGTCCATAGGGGTGGTCCATGGACCCCGATCCATGTTTTGTATACGTTCGTGTATTATTAACTGTCACTTCCGAAGATGTATTTCGAAACATACGGAATGTCAAGTAAAGTTTACTGATCTTGTTTTCCAACATGCGTTTTACTGTCATGTTTGTAACTGCAGTTTGTGTGCTATTTCTTATCAAGCCACAATGGCCAAAGAAAGAATTTTTAAGACTGGGCATGTACTGGAGTGTGTCGTACTTTTGGTCATCGAACTCAAATTCTTACGCATGCTCAATACCAATTACAGTCGTCATCGAGTTGGCTGCCATATTGTTTGGGTTTGGAGGAGTATTTTCGGGGAAATTCACCGTGGATTTTGTAGACTTTCTTCCCCCGCGTGGTCCATGATTAGTAATGGCAAAGCCGAAATCAGAACAAGTGCTAAAGCTTGAACCAGCTTCAGAACTACGCTTTCGGGGTAATTCCTGTAGTGTAATTTTAAATTGCAACGTTGGTCGTTTTTGACCAGAGTCAAATACAGCTTATCTTTAACTACGCATTCACCTGGTTTATTTTGCGTCTAGGAAATTTCAGAGAAGTTGCCACAGTAAACCTTAAACTTATAAACCCTTCCGAAAAGAAAGTATGTTTCAAGGTGAAAACTACAGCTCCAAAGCGATACTGTGTTCGCCCGAACAGTGGATTTGTTGAAGCTGGTGGGGTGGTGGAAGTGGCCGGTAAGTTTAACGATTTAACTTCCTACCTTTCAAAATCGATATGCATATTTTATAACGATTTACGATTGTGTTAAGGTTTTGAATTTACCTGGCTCGTTATATTAAAAATTTACATTTGTATCTTAATTTATATCTTGAAATTTGTCCGAACGCAAGCTCATAATCTTACAAATTTTATGAAGGTTTTGTTAATGAAAAGAAAGATTGTTGTCTTTGTTATAAGGGTTCGATTTGTTACACGATTTGTTTCTTACTTGATGGTTTTTTCTTAAGCCCGTGCATGCGGTTTCAAATCCCTTGACTCGTTGCTTCAAACAGTACTTGTTTCAGCGCAAAAGATATTAAAGAACGCATGATAAGCAGAACGTTATATCAAGTCTTCAGTCATCTTCAATGTTTAAACTCGGTATTAGCAGTTCCTGTTATTTAATAAACGAATTATCGGGTAAAATTGAGTGTGCTTTCCTATGATATTTTTTATTTTGCATCCGTTTGTCAATATTCGCACCTACGATGAGCAAACCAGATTGACTTGTGAGAAAACTTGTCTCTGTGGGAACGTGAACTTGAGTGCTGCCCCACGTGATTGTAATTTTTTTTTTGACAAGTTCGATTATTTTGTAGAATTCAATTTTTGGCTGATTTAACATTTTAATAGTCTGTTCTTATTCGACTTCAAAATCTAACCAGAATTTTAAGTCGTGCTTTCGTTTTACTCTGAATTTTACGTATATGTGCACGATCCTTCGCAGTAAAGCACTATTTGAGCAATAGTGAAAATCAGACCTGAAAAAAATTTCAGGCCTGTACGGGATTCGAACCACTGACCTCTGCGATACTAGTGCAGCGCTCTACCAATTGAGCTAACAAGCCAACTGGGAGCAGGCCATCAAATTAATTCGACATAAACCCGTAGATGATAAATCAAACAACAACAAACATATGAAACATATGTGTGAACTGCGGTTATGAGACGTATATGAG